CCATTTTGCTTGTCAGATTTTTTCATTTGTATGTTTTAACATTAATATTTGATGGGTGTGGGCACTTCCTTTGAATTATGGCACATACTTAACAAAACCTGAGACATAGCTGAATATGGGCTCCCAAAAAGGTTGGGAGTACATTGTACATACTACATACAATATTATATATGGGTGTACAAGGTCGGCTGTGGTTGTTTGGCATGGCTGGCTACTCTTCAGCTTTGCCCGAGGAATATTTTCAGAAGTGAACAGGAGGTTGGGCCATGGTTGGCTTGTCACTGGTCAACAGTAGTAGTTGGGTTTGTTGGCAGTCAAATTTAACTTGATTAGTATAGAAAGAAAGATGTTGACAGCCACCCTTAGAGTATGGTGCACGGTGAGTCTATATAGTAGTCATTCAGTATAGAAAGGTAGAATGGCCTAAATCTGGTCAGGCTGCTCCCAAACTTCAGCCAACCTTTGTGGAAGGTTCTGATTGTTTTCCCCCCAGTTTCATACAGTAGCAAACTGTAACAGCCAGACATCATGAAACATGCAACACAGGACACCTCTAGATTTTTATTTTTCTTTATTTTAGCCGTTTTGTAAGTTCTTTCTGAGCTATTTTCCAAAATCCTTGTGTGTCTCAGACTCTGTACACCGCCTGCACAGTCAGCCGACTTCTGGACATTCCCCTGACCTGAACAAACTTGCAATTGCATAATATTTAGCTTAATTTCCCCCCATCACTCCCAGCACACAGTAATGAGTCTCAAAGCTGTTAAGTCTCCTTACATGTGCCCAGGCTATTCTCCACACCAATGGTGTGAGTGACTCCTCTATACAGATGTATTCAGACGTACTACAATGTTATGTAAAGGGCAGTGAGGGCTTTCGGTTTTCCTTTTAAGTCGGAAGCCAGATGGTCTGAAATCAACTACCTACTTCCATGAAAGGGATGAAAAATTTGTGATTTGGTAGCAACAAATTATACAGACCTTTCTCCAATACATAACTTAGAATTACATTTTATATGTCTTTCGTCTGCTGTAGAGTGAACATCCTTTTTTCTCTTTTGTTTTACATCTTGTCCAGGTACTTGTCTAGCGGGGGAATGCCTTCACTCAGGCCCTTGCGTTTGCGGGTCTCGGTGACGACGACGCCTGGCTTGCTGGTGTCTTCGTAGGGGTCGCCGGGGAGGATCTGCCAGTGGTCAAACACGCACTGAGGGAAGGCCTGGCCTCCCGTGTTAGAACGTAGATCTGCCGTGAAACCTGAGGAGGAAACACAGAAGTCAGTCAAAACACTTCAACATTTCATTGTGTTCCCATCTTTCATTCATACATGCAGCCTATCACCTTGTAGTGGAATCATATTAATGCTTTTGGTGGTGAACGGTTGTTGCTGCAGAACATGACAATCTAAAAAATTTCCTGTTTTTATCATTGTGGTAAGACTTATCTACTCAAAATGCTAACTGATCCACTTATTTAACATTCAGGAATTTCTAAATGCTACGAGGAAAAAAAAAGCTTTTATTTTGTCAAAAAAATTTAAGTTGCGCTTACTTCTATCGTATGATCTCGTTCAAGGTTCAATAACTAAAATTCCTGCTGAAATGCAATTTTACATGTAACCATTAAAAAAAGGATTTTGAGCTCTGTAACTTGGGCCAACTACCAGTATGTTTACTTACCAAAGGACTCATTGACAGGCAGGTATGCCTTGACGATGAACATCGGTGTGCCCACAACTTGGGACTCCTCAAATACGTGGCCTCTTCTGCGGTTGAGCACTCCATAGATGCCTCCTACCGCATTCTCAGGGCACTGCAGGGGAAAGCACACAAAAATTAAGTGAGCAAATGGGAGAACCAATTGATTAAATTGGTGTGGCCTAATATAGCTTTTCTTCTGATAATGCCCATCTGCTGAGAAATTTGCAATAACTGGCATGTTGGGGGAAAGTTGTGTAAAGTGCCGTTCCCAAGGACACAACGTCGGGGCATGTAGGTGGAATTGAACCCGGGACCCATGGGTGCCTTGCTGAATGCCCAACCATTACGCCTCAACGCCACTTACACGGCACAATTAAAAAAGAAAACCAGAGGCTGGTCAGTCGTACCTGAATCTCCACCTGGTAGATGGGCTCAAGGATCCTGGGCTTGGCCGTCAGCTGGCAGGCGTACAGACACCGCCTGGCCGTGGGGATGATCTGGCCACCGCCACGATGGATGGCGTCGGCGTGGAGGGTCACATCGTGGATGTCGTAGCGGATGGCGCGCATGTTCTCCTCGCACAGGACGCCCTGGGAGGGTGGAGAAACGATGGCGTTACTTGGGATATATTTCCTAAGCAGATTGTCTGACCCAGTCACTTGTTATTTAGCTGCTAATACAGATAGAGGGCTGGAAATACCACCAGTATTTGCATATGCATAGTGCAGGTAAAACTGGAGCTGTGCAGGTATTTCTGCCTACACCTAACCTGCATACATGCAGGTGAATGTGGATTTTTACTAGTAAATTTTTACTACATGATGTTCCTTGCTTGACCATGTGAATGCCTGGACAGGACAACCACTCTGGACTTTGCAAGGGTTTAATTTCCAACACATCGGGGAAGGGTAAGCAGCGATGGGTTGACTCTGCATCCCAGGGTGGTGTTGGTATGCAAATATGAGGACTTCTTTTCTGGTCAGGGGACCAGATTCTGAATGTGTGACAGGGGCTTGAGATTGAAAGTTTAAACCCCAGATTCTTCCCTCTTTTCCCCTTACCTCCTTTGAGGCCCACTGGAAGCCTGCGACCACGCTGTCCTTGATCTCGTTCAGGTACTGGACTCCCTTGGTGCAGTCCACCAGCATGTTGGGGCCGTTGGTGTCAGGGCCGAAGCACCAGATCTTACGGGCCTCTGTCACGTCCCAGCCGTAGTCGTCCGCCAGCTTACGGGCACGGGTCTTGATGTCGTCACGTGCGTTGATGTCTCCCCTGTCAATGTCCTCAGCAATGCCCTCTGTTAGAGGCCTAACAAGCAAAGAATTTGATTTGTTAAGATTCATTCTTTTTTCTCCCAAATAAAATAATATTACTATCAGAAGTGTCTCACATAACAAAAGCAGTGGTCAAAATGCTTTTTTTTTTTCAATATTGCAAGTTGTCAGAATTTTCTTCTCCAATTTGGAAATACTTTCTGCAAATACCCAAACAACATGCTTCTCAACCTAATAATACCCATTAGTAGCCACTGGCTCTGGCATTCTATATGTACATGAATGTACACTGTACACTGAATGAGCCACAAGTATCAGATCGGCGAGTGAAGATATTGTTTTCCTCATCATACCGAAGCATGCGTTGGACATCCATTCATCATTTACTGTGGCTCAAACTGCCGCTTACTTTTGTACCATTAAGTTCACCAGAAAGCCATTTCAAAACCAAACCGATCCATCAATCAATCAACGTATGGATCTTGACAAAATGATTTTTTTTGTAGTAAATACACCCATTATGCCTTCATCAGGGCTTGGAATACCACCTGCATGTGCAGGTTACTGCAGGTAAATCCATACCAAATGCAATCTAAATACTGAATGGTGCAGGCAACATTGAAAATTATCAGATATACAAGAAAGAATTTAATACCCTGCTTCATATCATCCACAAATGTCCAAAATAATCCTAAGTACATCTTGAATACTGCATGCTATAAAAGAGCAGTGCTACAGTATCAAGCACCACTGCTGTTGCCCTCACCTGGCCTTCATGAAGAGACGGTTGTGCTTGTTGGGTGACTTGGACAGACACATGATATCTGACTCCTCCTCCACGGTTTCACGGTAAGAGACAACGGGGTCAGACTTCTTGATGGGGATTGCTGCGTGGTCTTCCTCCAGATCCTTCAGACAGATCTCCAGATGCAGCTCTCCCGCACCGGCTACGATGTGCTCACCACTCTCCTCAATGATACACTGTTGGAAGGGATTGAACAGAGTATGAACAAACCACGCAAGTCAAAACAACAGGGAGTAAAGCACAGACAGGACCACAAAATCCTTTGTTTCTGCTCAAAAGCTCAAGTGTCATAATATTTTAATTTCTTTTGGAACATTTGCAACAAAATGCAGATCTCAAGTAGGTATAACCATGTAGCTATGGTCAGGATGATGTTCCTTGCTTGACCATGTGAATGCCTGGACAGGACATCCACTCTGGACTTTGCAAGGGTTCAATTTCCAACACATCGGGGAAGGGTAAGCAGCGATGGGTCGACTCTGCATCCCAGGGTGGTGTTGGTATGTGTATACATAACAACTTGAGGTTTCAGGATTGCTAAATATTACCTTCAAATTTGACAAGGTTACTTTTTATTGATCATTATAAATAACAGAAGAAATCTAGCAGGCCAAGATGTACACAATTATTTCCCAACACTCAAAGCTATCTGCCAAAGAAGACCACAGCATGTCCAGAACAGATTACGCTGTGCGGCAGTACAAATGCAAGAAGACCTGCAATCACGCCTGACCAGCTCTTTCAAGTCCTACCTGTTTATCCACTGTCATCACAATCTACAGCTTAAGTTATAGCTGGCAGTGAACAGAAACACAGTTAAACAGATCCAGAACAACTCCAAAAACTAGGGGTGAACCAATCTTACCTGAACCATAGGATCAGACTTGGCCAGACGCTTGAGTCCCTCCACCAGCTTGGGCAACTCAGACGGGTTCTTGGGCTCCACAGCAACACGCACGACAGGACTGACACTGAACTTCATCACACGCAGGTTGTGGGCATGCTCGAACGTGGACAGCGTCCCGGTCTTCACTAGGTACTGGTCCACACCGACCAGACCCACGATGTTACCACACGGCACATCCTCGATGGGCTCGATGTAACGACCCATCATCAAGATGGTCCTGGGGAGAGAGAGAGAAAAAAAGAGGGCAATTACAGGATGCTCTTTTCAATTGCACAACAGTTTTTTTGTTCATTAAAAAAAGTGAAATGTTTTTAAAAATTTTCTGTCTTTAATGATGCTACTTCAACTAATACAAGGCAGATATTGGTCATATGCCCCCCTAGTGTCTGGTGCTGGTTTTGTCATGGACCAGTGCATGCTAGGTGCAGGTAGACATCAGAAATACCTACATAGCCCCGGTTTTACATGCACTAACCTGCATATATTAATGCACTGTTCTTTTTGGTAAATATACAATTCTATCTCATCTTAACCTGTCATTGGCACACCAAATCAGTGTGTCATTGATGTTCTTGCAAGTGTATTTCCAGCCCTGCTATCCTACAGAAATGCTGTTTTCTCACCTCTGGATGGTCTTGAGGTACAGATCTTCCTTCTTCCCTGGGACGTAGTTGGGACCCATGATGCGCACCTTCTGCCCAGTCCCCACCTTGCCAGAGAAGACACGTCCGAAGGCATAGAAACGGCCCTTGTCTGAGGTGGGCACCATCTTGGACACGTACATCATGAGGGGGCCATCAGGGTTGCAGTTTTTGATGCCTGTTCAACACAAACACAATGCATTTGCTAGAAAATCAACAAGTAAACAGGGTCGGGTCTACCATTCTAGGAAGGGACTACTGTTAAGATATTTACTTACACGATGGTGGATTTATTCCATGACGTAAAGCAAATGTTTCTGCTGTGTTTGAAATTTAATGTTAAAACAATTCCTCAGGTTATTCTGAAGGTTGATTGAGAGATGAAAAGTTCAAGAACTAATAGATGAATTGGAGATGCCTCATCAGTCATAAAATTATACAACCATAAGGGCATGGGGCAATCCAGTGTCTAAACAAAACCGTTTACTTCCATTTTTAAAAAAAAAATCTATCTAGTGATGAATGAGCCACAGGTATCAGATCGGCGAGTGAAGATATTATTTTCTTCATCATACCAAAGCATGCATTGGACATCCATTCATCATTTACTCTGGGTCATATTTACGACTTTTCTTTACATAGATGTTCTGGCACAGGTAAAAACCATTGACATTATTTCCTTTAATACACTTCATAGGTGGTAACAGTCCATGTAGCAAATAAAAATCTACCCACACCTACAGGTATATGTTAACTCAGTAAACAAACAGACACAGGTTAGGTGCAGGTCCCATTTTACATGCTCTAACTTGCATATATATAAATGTACTCACCAAGAGCAGCCTCGTCTTCGTGAGGGCCCTCGTACAGCAGTTCCATACGGTACTTCTGTGCCGTGACGGGGGACGGAAGATGGGTACAGATCATCTGAAGGAGGGCCTCTCCGGCCGGCAGCCATTTGCGCATGGCCACCTTCAGCAGGGGCTTGCCTTCCAGGCCCTTCTCTTCTGTCGTGAGTTTCACCTGAAGCTTTTCCAACACCTTGGCGGTGTCGTCCTTCTTGAAGTTCATGATGGCATCGAAAACCTGATGGGTGACGAGAGGGTTAATTTTAGGGCAGTAAAACAAAAAAAATATTCTAGATGAGGTACAGTCTGCCATTTCTTACCACATTTTTGTCATCATTTCACACTAAGCATTTGAAATAGCTCAGAAACAAGCTTAATTTCATAAAAGCTAGAACCAGCCTATTAATTAAACAATAATAAAAATCAATAAAAACCTTGTAGATGGGATCCAAGACAAATTTGTTGAAGCCACGAATGTAGCCTTCTCCCGGTGTCTTGGCCCACTTCTTGGTATTGGCATTGAAGAACTGGTCACCCCACAGACGTTTCATCATTTTGGAGAGCTCGATCTTAAACCTGTTGGAGTACAACTCACCGAACTGCTTGAGGGTGAAGGCCCAGCCGTGAAGGCCGGATCCAAACCCTACAGTTCCCTTCTCTGGGTACACCTGGAGAGGACACAAACAAAAATTGGTAACCGTCAGGGCTCAAATTACTAGTGCATCCCTGGAAGCGGTCTGGAGAAAGAAGTCAACTCCAGTGATGAACAGGGATGAGGGAGGTACAAACCATGTTTGGGCCTGTGTTACTGCCGAAAAAGTGCCACCTACGCATTGGCTACATACATGTATAGTGGCGAGAAGCAGAAGTCCAGTCAGAAGCTCCGAGGAAGGTGTCTGACTGACAAGGAAGCAAGGTAAGACACTACTGGTAGAGGAAAAGAAAATCCCAAAATCCAGAATTTTTCACTGCTGACATCAGATGACATACATGAAACTATTTTGAGTGTTAAATGAAAACTATTGACTAAACTCACCATGATATTACCCATGGGTCCGTCTTCATCACTGTAGGTGGCGACAATGACGTTGACGTTTTCGACGGTGCGCGAGAAGTTATTGTACAGGTCTTCCATTTCAAGCTGCAGTTCCAGCAGGGCGCGGTCCATCTTGTTCATGAAGAGCACAGGCTTGATACGTTCGCTGATGGCCTGACGCAGCACAGTCTCCGTCTGCACGCAGACACCTGAAGTAACACAGGGAGAACACAACTGTCAGTCAGGTCAGAGAGTTTACTGGTCTTTACTTTATTAACCTATAAAATGTAGGCTGAAATAAGGTTTCATTCAGTAACAAGGTGGCCTTGTGCTCATCAACTCGAATCCCTGGCAGGCAACAGTGTTGTGCCCTTGGGCCTATTTCCTCACTTCACACAGGTGAGGAAATGAGTACTTAGTTTTGGTCTGGGACGTCCTGTCGGATAGAATGTAAAGCTGGAGGTCCCATGTTTGAGGAGGGTTACATATAAATGGAACACATGCACCTATGGGGGTTTAATTCAGGGCTTGCCAGTAACAAACACCCACCACTGACGCAGTCGACGACCACGAGAGCACCGTCAGTTACACGGAGGGCAGCAGTCACCTCGGAGGAGAAATCCACGTGCCCGGGAGAGTCGATCAGGTTGATGAGGAAACCCCTTTCGGTGTTGCTCTCCTTGCCTTCAGAAGGCACAAAGTCCATGTCCTTCTCAGCCAGCTCGTAGAAAAGGGAGATGGCACTGAAAACACAACAAAACAGAAGTTGGATGGTAGTAGGGTTGGGTGCCAGTTCGTCTCAACCGGTTTTGACTCAGAATAACATCCAACAACCGAGTCCAAAAACTGAAACCCGTTATCCGATTTTTTCGGACTCAACAAAGTACAAACATATCAGACATTTCTATTGAGACATGCTTATTAGGTAATCAGGCCATAAAAGGAAAAAAAAAACTACAACCCTGAATCAACTACATTGCTTAATCCATATGCTAATGCATTAAAAAAATAACTTATCATTCCAGTACAGTTTTACATGATTTTAACATGATTTACAGTACTTAGAGACCCATGCTTGTATCTTGTTCTTTATATTCAAAATTATACAGTGTAGTACTACCTTTTTTTACTGTAATAGTACTAATAGTAGTAATACTATAATCAGGTCCAGGTTCAAGTCCAACCTGGATCTGGACCTTATCAAGCAAAACTGGTACCCGTCCCTTGTTGTTTGTCATAGCCTCTGGCATTTACAAATAGCAATTTATATAAGGTAACCTATCAAGTCTGCAGTTCCTTTGTAGCACACTAGGGGGTGAACTTGCATACATACAGGGATCTCCCCAGAAATTTAGGACAGAATGGAGGAGGGTACGAAATATCGGTAAATTTGACCAAAGAACCCTGGAAAAGGGTGTAAAAACACTAGTTTTGAAAATTAACAGGGTGGAGCTGAGATAAGGACTGGGTGGAGGAGCTCCACTGCTCCATTGTTTAGGGAGGTTCCTGACATATCTTGCAAACCAGTGATTTTTTTCAGTGTCATGTTAATGACTTGCACTAAAATTTGATGCTCTGATATTTTCTCACATTTCTTACTTTTCCCCTCATTTAGGTGTTTTAGACAGAACATATGCCTCCCACAAAATAATTCAACAGGAGCTTCCTTACGTTGACTTGATGGTGATACAACGTTCCTGTTCGTCTTTCCTGGTGTCCGTGAACCGTGTTTCACCGGCCTTCTGTGAGGCGATGATACCGGCCTTGCTGACCAGTGAGTCGGTCAGTGTGGACTTGCCGTGGTCCACGTGAGCGATCACGGACATGTTCCGGATGTTCTTCTTCTTGTCCATGACATTGCGGATCTCGTCTACTGTGAAGTTCACCTGGAATGCACGAAATCACACATATGGAATATATTTCAGGGCTTGCAATACTTCTGTCTGAATCTGAAACACTGAAAATTGCCTGCACCAGATAAAACTTATGATTAGCTGTACTTCATTGTATATTATATTATATTAGCAGTTGATGTTTAGTAATTAGTATGTTATAGTTCATTTTATACCCTTTTCTTTTGAACTGTGTTCGAATTATACTCATTGCCATACATTGCACATTGCACAATGTACAATTGCTGTGCAAAAAAGTTCTTCGCTCTTCTACATTTGTAAATTTTACCTTTAACACTCAGAATTTAGGAACGGTGGATCACACAAAAAAACGGTTTAGAAACCACTGCCATTTAATGATGATGTCTCCCAACTTTCATAGGTGGTCAGAGTCAATACAGCTATTCCACACATACTAGGTACTAAGAGGCCTATAGTCCCTAAACCTTCCAAAGCATATATTTGGGTTCATTATGTCAGGGCTGCAATCAGTTATTTGCTTAATGTCTATTGATTACTTAAGGAATGTTGCATAATGTCGGGCAAAGTTCAACAATGACTTTTAATCAGCAGCTGTCCTTTTCGGGTACACAAATAGTAGCGAGTAGCAACCGGCAAAAGGCTGAATTCAAGAACAAACAAAAATTATTATGATGAACCTAGAAACTTGAATACATTTTATTAGCCTGACTGTGCTAGTGACTAAATCTCCAATAAATTATATATAAATTCGGAACTTCGACAAAATATGGTGATTTTATAGCTATATCACCGTCCATTCTCCGTCAAAATTAGGTTTGTCAATGCTTTTGGTGGGAGTATTTTCTGACTTCGCACAGTTCTGTGGAGCCATAGTGCTGTTATCCTTCAAAGGCCACACAACTGCGCACTTTCTTTTTGCCCCCCTCCCCACACTAATACATGGTACGCCATATCCTGTAGGTTGCGCAATCACATGGCTGAAAAGTGTATGAATGGGCTAACGGACCAAAAATGCCGAGAAATAACGAGCCAAAACGTGTGATCAAAAGTCTATTATCAACAAAAAGGACAATAATGGGAAATTTCTCGGGTTCGCTGATACTTCTTGTTAGAAAAGCAGATCGAAAACTGGTCATGAAAAGTGCCAACGTGGGGCCGCCATCCAAAAATGCCGGCTCGTCTGAGACACCCATACTTAAAAAGCCGTCTAAAACAGCCAAACATCCAAAGTACACCCAACATTTTGTGTTCTATGGATCCATTAATGTGTATTCTACACAATCTGAATGAGATGGAGGGAGGATGCGGCTTACCATGTTGGATTTTGGTGCGATGTACTCCCTCCGATGAAAAAGTACAACCACTACAGCGGTGACTGCAGGGAAAAAGGATCGACGTCAGGCCGGCGTGACGTCACCAGGACTGAGGTGGCGCCCCCTGCGAAGGTATTGCGACATTGATGACGTTGCTAATCCCATTTCTGCGGTAAGATTCCAAAATTTCTTCTCCTTGTAATTTTTCATGGCTAAATATCATTCATGTTAAAAAAATTCATAAGAAGGGGGGATGGAAAGGAATGGCTATATTGCTTATACTGTACTTTCAATTTTGCGTTTGCATGCACTCCACGTGTGAATCATGCCGTCTCCAAATGTTGACCTATGACCCATATTGGCGGGAGCCACCATATTCCATTTTGGGAAAGGTAAATGTTTTCGTCCTACTTCCGTAGCTGTGGTTGCAAAACGTTGCTTAACCGACATGTAGTCGAAGAAATTGTGCTAGGCACGACATGTTTACTATCGTTATATGTCCTTGCTACAACTTCACAGTATATATCTAGTACAACCATGCTACAACCAAGGACATTGGAACACAATGTCCTTGCTACAACGAAGCTTAGGCAGGGTCTAGGTCAACACTCAGTTCATATGTTTATGCAAGTAGCTTCCATGATGGAAGCTCCTTGGTTTATGCACAATAATTACCATTTTACTGGAACATAGTAAATTTTTTGCATTACATCCTTATTTAACCAGCATGCTGTAACACCATTAACGTTAACATATTGTTATAATTATATAATATATACACTATATAATATATAACGTTATATTATAAATACTAAGGAAGTATAATGATGTTTTAGTAAGGGAGATCTAGTCAACATTGAGTAGAATTTTGTCTTATTATAACCCATATATTTTAGATAAAGTAACACAGATGTTTTGCACCCCCAACATCAGCCAATTTGTACCAGCTGACCATGACAACAAAGAGTACCATGTATTTTACTTCCTTCCAGATCTATTTTGTGGTCATTTGATTTTTGACAGTTTGTGTCTTTTTGTGGGCCAGAAGATGCCTGCAGGATTTTCTGGCTAACATTTAAGGTAAGTTTAACTTCGAGCCTTATTGTACAGTACAACATTACCTTTTTTCTTCCCACAAAATTCTTTAATAGATGTGACAAAAAGTTTGCATACTGTTAAAATATCATTTGAGGAACAAAGATGGAATACTTGCCAGGTACATAATGAGTGTACATGTGTTTCACTTTTAGACATTGTACTTTCACTGCAAGGAAATGAGATATCTCGACCATGTCATCATGGAAAAGAAAGTATGAGGAGATAGATGAAGATGATGATAAAGAGGAGGAGGATGCAGAGGAGGATTGGGGAGCATCTATGGATGATGACTCACAGAAACATAATCAGTCTGACAAGATGTCAAGGAGACTGTCAACATCTCAGCATACTTCAGGTGCAGTCTTGTTTAAATTATGTTTTAGATTTTAGATCAAGGTAGGTTTCAGATTTCTATCATATTTCTGATTCTATGGACCACTGTGCTGCACAAGCTTTTTTTACTTTCCTCATAATTTTTGTCTAAAACATGCCGCACGACACATTCTAGCGGCTTTATGTAAACAAACAACATGGCGGACCCTGTTCCACGGAGCACACGATACGCTGTAAAAAATAGGGGGGGGGGGAAACGTCAAAGTTACAGTGTATTTTAAATTTATAATTGCGTAGACGATGTATCCATAGCGTTAAAAATGCTTCATAACTACATGTACACGTCATATTAGACCAGGAATTGAAGCAGCTGGTTGAGGTCGGTTAAGGCTGTTTGAGGTCGGTTGATGTCTTTTTGAACCTCCTTGGTCATACCAAATTTTTAACGTTACCTGCATCATACAGGTATGCAGAATAAAATATTTTGAGCCCAGGGTCTACACTCTACAATGTTACTATTTGATTCAGATGCATACTTTTGTCTGTAGGTGAAGAGGACACCTCTCGTGTGATTGTCCATATTGATGTGGACTGTTTCTATGCTCAAGTAGAGATGATTAGAGACCCCACCCTACGAGACAAACCACTGGGTAAGGCTTATATAATGGACCAAATTTCTTTTATGTTCATCTTTTAATAATAGAATGAATAGATCCTTATATTGATTTTGTAAAGTAACTTGTTAACTTATTGATTAATAGTAATAGTGTTATAAAGATATAAAAAAAACAAAGAAACTTAACACGATAAGTTATTGTAATGTAATGTAATGTATTAACAGAATTTGTTTCCGACAAAAGTAAGATCTTTTTCACTCTGTTGACAACTTTTTAAGGACAACCTACTTGGTTTCCCTTGTCTTCAGACTCATTGTCTTCAGTCGGTTGAGTTATTTTGTATGACATATTAAGTTAACTACTCAGAAAAGGGTCTTAGACTAGCCAGTTGTTAATTTTTTTATTCAAAGCAAAGCTTTTCTCATAATGTTACTCATGAACGTATAAGTGTTTTAATGCAAAGATATGACTACTTTTCCCAGGTATCCAACAGAAGAACATTGTGGTGACGTGTAACTACGTTGCTAGGAAGCGTGGTGTGACAAAGCTGATGTTTATAAAGCAGGCGAAGGAGCTGTGTCAAGAACTGGTCCTGGTGAAGGGAGAAGACCTGACACACTATAGAGAGATGTCCTACAAAATCACAGGTCAGATAGTATTACTGTGGTAGCCATAAATTCATCATTATTAAAATACATATCTCGAATAAACATGCACTCCTAATTTGGGGCTGGATTGATAAATCTGCCCATTTGAAATGTAACTTGGAAAAACTCAAATAATGTACACATCCCCTCTAAGCACAAATGGTACCACATGTATGTCTTTTGGAAAAGAGTATGGTCCATCCTGGAGTGAGTCAATCAATCCTTATAGTCCATATATATATTAGATAAAACTGATGTGTTATGCCCAAATGTGTTTACTGGTCATGCAAAACAAAAGACATACAAACAGATTGCATTGCAATAGGGCAGTCCACATGATTGACTCACGTCTATTCTAATAAAAAAGACTCTAAACTGATGGTGGAAAGGTTCAATTCAATCTTTTTTATCAAAGGGTGACTTCTGTCCATATGGGTAAGAATCCCTGCCATACCCAAGGCTTCTTTACATGTTCTAACTGCTCTCCTGTGATCACCTAAGTTGTGCCACACCCACCCCAGGCTGTTCAGTGAGTTGGCAATATCAAAGTGCACTGTGTGCTGGCCATAGATACTCCTATACATCTGTAGTGCCTGTTCAAGGTAGTTCATAGCTTTCCTGTGATCACCTGAATGGCTCCAGGCTTGCCCTAGATAATGGAGTGAGGTTGCAATGTCGCGATGTGCCGTTTTCTGACTGTAGATACTTCTGTATATCTGCAGTGCCTGTTCATGGTATCTGATTGCCCGCATGCTGTGGCCTGGCATGTCGTGCCAGGCATTACCCAGATTGTTCAGTGAGTTGCCAACGTCAGGATGTGCCGTACTCTGACCGTAGATACTCCTACGCATCTGCAGTGCCTGTTCATGGCAGCGGATTACCCTGCTGAAAGAACCCAGTACTTTGTGATAAGCTGACCCCAAGTTGCTGAGGGAGGTAGCAGTGTCAGGATGTGCTGTGGTCTTACCATGGAGAATCCTGTTCATCTGTAATGCCTGCTCATAGAAGCTGATTGCTTTCCTGTAATCACCTAAGTAAAACCAGGCATCTCCCAGATTATTGTCTGCTCTGGCAATGTCAGAATGTGCCTCACTCTGACTGTAGATACTCCTGTACATCATAAGTGCTTCTTCAAGGTAGCTGATAGCTTTCTTGTGCTTACCCAGATGGTTGCAGGCTGATCCCAGGTTATTGAGTAAGGTAGCCATATCAGCATGGGCTGAACCCTGATCATAGATATTTCTATGCATGTGAAGTGCTTGTTCATAGTAACCAATTGCTTTTGTGCAGTCACCAATCTTGTGCAAAACATCGCCAATTTGGACGAGCAACAGCATTTTCTCACTGTCACTTACATTAGCTTTCTGCAGTGCCTCATTGTAGTAGCTGATAGCCAGCCTGTATTTGCACAGCTCATAGCACATCATACCTTGTACTCTTTTGGAACTATCATATAAATCAAAGTCAGAACTAACTGGCTTCTGTTGACACAATTCTGACAAAACTTCTCTTAGGGGAATTACTGTATAGTAATATCTGAAAAGCTGCTTTTCATTTGGAAGATGAAAAACTGGAATCAGTGCACTTGGTTTTATCGTCTCAAGTGAAGATTCCAGTCCATGCAGTGCTGTTTCCATTGAAGCCAATGCAGACAGGTATTCCTTCTGTCCACCACTTGTGATGTATGTTCTGAGCCGGAGTTCTGCTGAGATGCTGGTAAGCACTGTCAAGTGATGTGCATTGTTGGGACTAATAACTCCTTGGTGTTCCATTTCTTCTATTGTCTTCCAAACTGTAGTGGGCGTAATGCAGAAAGACAGTGCCATGCAATCCACTGCTAAATGCGGGAAGCGGTAGAGGTCTTTCTTTACATCTATCAGTCTTGCTGTTACCGTTTCTCTGTTATTGTACTTTTTATTGTTTAATTCCTGTAGTGTCTCCTGTGCCAGTTGCTGAGCCATTTTACTCCTATCAGCTTGCAGTTCCTGTACTGAGATGGTCATGTATGTGTCAATTAACTCCTGGTCCCCTGCTATCAGGCATGGGTTCTTCAAGATAGTGGCAAGATGATACCCTCTCTTCAGGTATAATGTGACATCATTTTTTAGTATTGACACCATTGTCTCTGGGGTGCAGATGAGCTCAGTGCCGTGCTCTTCGTTTGTCCTTACCTTCCTTCCTAGTGGAGTCTTGCTTGCCTTTGGCATTGAGCCATCAAAGGCAAAGCCATGTGGTGTAACAGAGTCATAGTACCAGTCGTCTTGTGGTTTCTTGGAGTAGAAGTCATTGAGACTTTTTATTCCCAGCGCTGGGAGAATGGTTTCTCCAAGGTTGACCACCTTGAGGTGTAGATAGTGGGTGATGTTGCGGAAGTACACAAGGTATTCTTCACTCTGTTCCTCTACCAAGATGACAAATTCCAAGTCAGAGTATGGAGTTACCAGTCCTGTGGCCTGTGAACCCAAACCTATCACAGCATACTTACAGGGAGGGGGACCCATTAACCCAATACACTCCTCTACAAGCAAGCTGATGAAATCTTTCCTTTGTTGTGCAATGTTCTCAAACAACTGCCTGACAGCCTGAGCTCGTTTTGCCTCTATCTCTCTGACACATGGGTCATCCTCATCATATACATAGGGATCCAGTTGCTGGTCAATGTTTTCCATCTGCAACTTGATCTGGTTCCGCATCTCCTTCAGCTGTTTCTTGTGTTTTTCTACGTCATCTTGGCTCATACTGCAGTGTATGTCTAAGCTATATTTAAGGAATGACTTCTCCACGTCTTTAATAGCTATCATTATGTTACCATTGTGAACTTCATCCTTTGACCTGGCTATTGCTGCATTGTAGAGTGCCGCTGCTTTGACAAAGTCTCCCCCGTCCCCTGTCTGCTGACCTCGCCTATTGTAGACATCCCCCAACTTGCATAGGGGCTCCACCTCTCTCTGGTACTGCTGGGGGGTAGAATCTGGGGATAAAGAGCATGAACTCATAATGATTGTAACATAAACATCAACTTGGTTTTAAATGAAGTCTACACATGCAAAGTCTTTAAAACATGATCACAGCCTTGCTTATTGCAGCCTCAATTTACAGCATATTCTGTAAGCCAAGTATGTTTTCCATAAACTGATTGTTTTGTTGCATGCAGATTGTCAGAGTTATAAGAAGTACAAGAAGTATAAGGAGTATGAAACATCAAAGCAATTACCTGCTTTATCTTTTTTTATGAAATATATATTATGCACATAAATCTATCATGTAAATTTTTCACTCTCAACTCTACAGTACTGTGACAGGAACTTTTTATTTTAAACAAAATTAATCATGGTTGTTTGTGATGATATCATGTACATTATATTATGTACATGTACCTGTAATAAGTTTCGATCATGTGAAAACATTTTTGCATTGTACCTCACATTTTCCTTACCTTTTACATGCACAAACCTGAGTGCATATCCAAAATATCGCTCAGCTGAATCCAGCTTTCCCCTGGCAAGGCAGAATTCTCCATCCTTAAAGTTGACTTCATAGTTACTGGAAATGAAAGGAAGGTTGTGGGTTGTTGTTTGCACACTATTATGAACATTGTATAACGCATTGTGTTAACATTACAGTATAAATTGGATCTCATATCACCTATGTTATTAGTAACTAAGTTAAACCTCTTTTAGCATTTATTTTATCTGCTGGGTTACATACGTGCATATCTGCCACTTTAAGAAATTGTGTGATAGAGAGATCTCTAGTGCAGTATTTATTCATGATTAGGGTGACATATGTACATGTATATATTTGACCTTGTATAACGATGTACTTCTAATAGTTGTTATGATAGATGTTACATTATATTGCAGAGTTTTACATTATATTGCAGAGTTTAAGACTGTTAATTACCTGACAGTGTATTTTTTGCTGCAACAAAGACCCAATTTCCCCAAAGAAAAAACATACGGAACTAATTTACTATTTCCCACCTTTTTGTTATGTCTGGACGAAGTTGGCATTCTATTGTTTCTTTCTTCAAGAGATTCAGTTTAGCTGTTCTTGCATCAGCTTGCTGCTTGAGCTTGAGAAAGAATTCACAGATATAATTATCAATTATTGTTACATTTAATTGTACTTTAAACTATAGAAAAATAACAATTATTCCTTCAACTTCTCCATCGCTTGAAGCAAACCAGAAGTTTGATAATAGTTCTGTTTTTTCCTAAAGAGCTAAATGTTCAGGCCTAGGAAAAAATATGTTGTGTTTCCTGTTTCAGCCCTGAAAAATTTTTTTATTCAATTAGACTTAGCTCTCTCTCTAGTGATCCAACTTATCCAATACAGTTTAACAAAGTACATTTTTTAAAGCTTGCATGAGGACATGTCTTAAGTTATTAATATATTTTCAATGTCAGTGATGGAAAACTGATTTATACAAAGCTTTATCACTCAGGTGTCAGATCACGGAGCTAGAAATGGTCAATCAGCACAAAAAATTATGTCGCTTGCAGGGTTCCACAAAAAAAAGGCTAAGGGTCGGTAGGCCTCTTAGGCAATTTATGTATGTTGTGACTCACCCTATCCAGTTCTTCTTTCGCCTTCTCCAACACAACTAAGTCTTGCATGGCCATGGCCCTTCGATGGTCCCGAGCCTGTTGTGTTTCAGGTTCCTTACTCTGTGGGCTGTAGATGGCAGGCTCCTTAAAGAAGTTCATCTGTTTTAGAAGAGCCGCTATGTACATGTGCGATCTGCTTTCTCCCGGTCTTGGCTCATCTTGTGATGGTTGCTGCATGATTTAATACATATTCACTTGTTATGAACCCTGGGTGATATGGGTAGTTATCGCACAGACTAGGCCAGAATGCCACTATCAAACGTTATGGGGTGCAGCCCTGGCAGGTTTGACGTTAATGTATTGCAAAAAGATACTACATGTAGTATATTAAAGACCCACAACAACACAAATTTGTAACAGTGTCAAACAAGACTTAGTATTGTTCAATGCCAATCAGAAGGCTCCATTTGCCATTGGTTATCATGCTGTAACCTCAAAAGTGGTCAGTTATTACAATAACTGACCACTTTTTGGACCGTACCATTATACAGGGGACAGGGCACTAACAGTAGTGTTAAGATTTGTAGTACTTAAAAACGTATTGTAGTTGAATAATTGATTTTTAAATATAACACATTTAAGATATAAATGAAATTTGAACAGAAAAAGACTAAACACAATTTTTGATACTCTCACTTAAAGTGGTACTGTTCCAATGTCATGTGGTGACTGAATATGATTGCCTAGATTATCTGTTTTTCTATCCATGCCATCTTGTTTCACGTGTTTTTTCGGCAATGGAGGAATTATATAAAGGAATTTGTGCGAAATAACTGTGTCAGTTGGATAGGCTATATATGATGATAGCATTAATCCCCCACCTTATCCTCAGTGTATATAATGATATAATCCCTGGTCAGGTGCGATAACCACTGAATAAACCACCTCGTTCGCTCCGCTCACTTGGTGGTTTATTCAGTGGTTATCGCACCTGACCAGGGATTATCTCACCATATACACCTCGGGGTGGGGCATGAACCCTTTATTAATGATTAATCCTTGTCATCATCAGTAGTTTGGCTTAAAACTACTCACATTTGGCACTGTCCCCTTGATCTTCTCCATGTAATTGATACGGTGGAACAGAGTCTGTTTTTGCTGGAGCTTGTCACATCTTGTCAGGGCCTTGTTGTACATTGCAGCTGCCTTGGAGAATTGGGATGCATCTGATGCTTTCCTCTTCTTCCCTTTGTCAAGGTACAAGTCCCCAAGTGACTTCAGAACCTCATGCTCCAAAAGCACGTCCCCCTTTCCAATTGCAGTCACCAACATTTCTGTATAGATCTTCTCAGTGGAGCGCTTGGATTTTTGTACACTTCTGTCCAATCTGTCACAAATTTCTGCCACCCTTAAGACATTGCTGTCAGCAGTACCCCAGTAGTCTGAAGACAAACACTCTAGATAATGAGGAGTGTACCCTTGCAGCAGTTTTCTGCAAAGTTGTTCCATGTAGCCGATGCGATGTTCAAGTGTTTGGCTCATGTCTGGGCTTCTGCAGCGCAGAAAGGCAGCAGCATACAGGGCAGCAGCCTTGTCAAACTCTGCTGAATCTTTACTGAGCTTGCCTTTCTGAAGATGCAGGTCTGCAAGACTTTTCAGGACTTCTACCTCCATGAAGCAGTCCTTGCAAACAATGGCTTCTCTAAGCGCATTCCCCAAGCTAGCCGCCTGGTCATCTTGTCCTCTGATGAAGCTTGACTCCAAGTCTTGTAACTTGTTTGCCAGGCTGCTCATATTGATGTTGGACAATTTCTTGTTTTCATTCCAATGATTAGCCTTCACCAAAGAAACAAGAACAATTTGCTGCTTTGAAAACTTGGCAAGTGAGAAATTCTGAAGATTTCTGGCCATTCTAGACAAGGCACATCATAATAATATACATGTATATACTGATTGTATATATATACAATCAACTTATGATGATTCTATCATTTAATTTGCAATGTGTTGGGGAAAGTTAGACATCCAGGTAATAAGATACACAAGAACACAGTTACTCACTATCTTATCTGTAATTTGGAAAGTACATGTATTATGTATATCTGTATATGTGATATGATTTTGTTTTATGTTGTAACAGTTGTAATAGATTATTAGATAATATCCACTTCTTCAGTTTCTGTTCAACAGATGTTCCTGTTCCCATTCCCATTCCCATTCCTATTCCTGTTCCCCTTTCTGTTACAACTTGTATCATTTGTTTTTTCATTGTTCAATGGTGAAATTGACATAAGCCATTTTGGTTGAGTATGACACAGCTGCATAATGTATTGTTGTTTTGAATGTTGCAATAAAAATTAACCAAGGCAGATATCAAGAAGATGTATTTCAGAGAGACATTTTTTAGGCAAGGAATAGCCAAGCCCCCCAGCAAACTCATGTAACTTGTAAGGTTGGCTAGGGTTGTTTAGTAACGTTACATAAAATATCATTTAAAAGTTTATGGGTTTGAATCCCTAGCAGACCCAATTGTAGCACTTTCCTCACTCCACTCAGGTGAAAATGAGCATGAGGCTTTTTTTAGAGACATCCTCTCGGATGGGATTTAGAGCATAGGGGTCCTTCCAGGTGAGAGCAAGTGAATCAAACCTTACAATTTGCTCTTATGCACCTTGTACCTACTGTCCAAAACTTGTGTGTTATTCCTATAGGCAGTTTACTAGTTGTGCAAAAAACAAACACAAACTTGTTTAAATCTCACCTGCTGGATGTCTGAGACTCTATATATCTGTGAAGCTGTCTGGGTAGAGATCTACACACATCTCCTTCACTCACTCAGTGCTAGTCAGGTGAAAGTTCTGCTTTTTTCCTCAGACCCAAATGGGACTTAACATACGGTCATAGTCTCATGACCAAGTTGGGTCAATCATTACCTAGCATGTTTATACTTTGGTCACTGCTACTATGAAAATTAGGCACGGAATACTTAAATATACATAATGACTGGTGATGTTTTTTCTTATAGTACATTACTTGTACTAGCCTTGGTACCATCCTGGTTATATTAGTCTTTCCTTAGCGTTAAATAAAACATTTCGTTCTGTTATTTTTAGAGGCTTTACAGAAGTTCTCCCCACTGGTTGAAAGACTTGGGTTTGATGAGAACTTTGTGGATGTGACAGAAACTGTCCATGGGAGGGTGAAGTCTGCCTCCTCTCCCCAACTGAATGGCCACATCTTTCCTGAAAAGAAGATAGAAGGTAAGATCATCTTTCTTCGGTAAGATCATCTTTCTTCAGTTCTTACAGGACTCAAATACTTTTTTCTGCATACCTGCACATTGAAATTGACCTGTTAGTGTTACTGACTGTTCACTGTACACTGAAGCTAGGTGTGATAGACTGATGAGGTGACAGATGATCATCGAAATGTCTCTTATTGAACAAGTGGTTGTAAATGAAGAACTTTGCTTTGAATCATTTCACAAACCTGATGAAATTTGTTCACAGCAGGTGACTTACTAAAAGATGAGAGACACGTGCGCCTGGCCTGTGGTTCCCAGATCGCAGCAGAGATGCGTCAGACCCTCCACTCAGAGCTGGGCATCACGTGTTGCGCAGGGATCGCACACAACAAACTGTTGGCCAAGCTGGTGGCAGGACAGCACAAGCCCAACCAGCAGACTACCCTGCTGCCTGAGGGGGTGGGACAACTCATGGGAACACTCAAAACTGTCAGGAACATACCAGGTAATAGTGACCAATTACACTGTAGGTTAATGTTACACTAGAACTAGAACTAGAACTAGAAATGTAAAGGGAGCATACATGTATATTTTACCTCCATTTTTTCAACCACTTTTACATATTTACCATTGTTATATGCACACACCATAAAAAGTACATTGTTAACGATTGAAGAAAGAGAATAAGTTGCAGATCGAGGAAAGTTGATAAGAGGCAGAAAAGAATACCCAGTACCAGTTTAGAACTTTGATGATATACACGGTTAGTTTAGAACTGTTGCCCTACAACCAAATGTCTTATAATGTTAGATTAATTAAAACAATACAGTAACTGTCTCCATCTTTATTTGAACAATACAAGTAACCTAAAATCACATACCTGTGATCTTCCCTCTTTGTCCTGTCCCTTGCAGGTATAGGTTCCAGCACCTTTAAGAGACTACAGACATTGGGTATCAGTGCTGTTCAGGATCTCCAAGATGCTCCGGCTAACGTCCTCCAGGCAGAGTTTGGTGCCCAGACTGCCCAGGTCATGCAGCAGCTGTGTCATGGGGTGGACCCTTCTCCTGTCATTCTTACTGGTCCCCCACAGGTAAGTAGAACACTTGCTTCATCATCATCGGCCTCCTTACATGGCAGTTGATGATGGGTTTGGTCCAGGGAGATGCCACTGCCAGCATCTTCTTTGGTGACTAAACATTAGTCAATGCTTGAGTGGCAGGCTCTGTGACATGATGTACAAATGAATGTGGTAGTGTTGACAGTAAGGCTCAGGTATGAGATAAGAATAAGTATCTGCCTCGAATCATAAATGGCCAGTATCTTAATTTCTGATTTTTTGTTGCAGACTATCAGTGATGAGGATTCTTTCAAGAAGTGTGCATCTCTTCAGAATGCCAAGGAACGGATGACAGGGCTTCTGCAAAGTCTGATGAAAAGGTAAAATAGGGAGAAGAAACAAGTTGATGTCAAACAAAAATAACCTTTCATGTGTTTTAGTGGTAGTTAAGTGTATTTGCCTATTTTAGAGTATTTTCATGACATTTGCATTGTTTGCAATTCTAATCAATTTACTGGTATGTTGCCTAGATATGCTGTACAGTTGCAAATCTTGTGTTTCAGACTGAAAGGAGATGGAAGAATCCCACATGTACTCAGAGTTACAGTAAGGAAGTTGTCAGCAACCAACAAATGGACAAACCGAGAGAGCAGGCAGTGTGCCATACACTCACATGTGTTTGGTACTTGGGGTGAGTTTTGTACAAGAATAGAGGATAGTAGATCTGATTTGAGATTGATTGATTGATTGCATGTTAGCATTTACCTACTATGTTGTATTACTATTATAGGCTATAAACTTGACAACATCCAAGATGGTTGATTTTTTTGTGATGATAATGTCTTCTTGACTTGACAACCTAATAAACTAAATGAAGAGGGGTATTCTAGATGAATTTTTCTCACTTTTCCTATAATATCTCTCTCATTACAGATGACAACAAAGAAAAAGAAACCATCTCCCAGCTGCTGAACCTGTGTGTCGTGTTGTTCTGTAAGATGGTGGATGTGAATCAACCCTTCCACCTCACCCTCATCAACATCTGCTTTGCCAAGCTGGAGGCGAGGTCCAAGCAGTTGGCATCCATCAAAAACTTCTTCCAGAATGAGCCCACCTCAACACAGACACTTGAGAAAAGTACTCATATGCTTCAACATCTTGAGGATGCTCATATCCTTAAGAAAGCTTCACAGCAACCACATTGGGCAAAGTCTTCAAGATCTTCTATAGAATCCTTCTTCAGACCACAGCAGAGATCCTCTTCATACTTAGAGTTTGAAAACAAGACCCGGTCCGGTACTCTTGAGGAGACAAGAACTTGTCGACAGATTACAGCTACTGTAGGATCATCAACATCTGTCCAGTCACTCTTCACAACAAAGGACAGAGATGTTGAGTATCATACCTCAGAATCTCGTTCTACAGAGAGCTGTTCAAGTTCAACTGACATCAGAACTTGTAAACAAGGGTTGTCTTTCCAGTTACTTGCTCAGACCCATGCAGTTTCTTCTGCATCAGATACAGAAGCTAGCCCCCTCAGCAGAGTTCAGACTGTACCCTCTGGTATTGACCCTGATGTTTTCAGTGAACTCCCACCAGAGATACAGAGAGAAATTTGTGCAAACTATCAGAAAACAGAAGATACTGACAGAAATCTTTCTACAAGTCAGTCTGTAGACCAAGAAAGTCAGAACAACGCAGAGACCCCAAATGTTAGTGACAGCATGTCACAGACAGTGTACATAGGAGAAGTTGAAGAAATGACCTCAGAGGTGGAAAATACCCACACTTCAAGTTGTACTAAGCCTGCGTCTGTAACAGTTCCTGTTGAAGGCACTGTCCTTCCACCAGACATAGATCCTGCAGTGTTTGCTCAGCTTCCAAGGGAAATGAGAGTTGAACTGCTCAACTCCTGGAGGAGAAACAGTTCATCAGCAGACAGTACACAAACAGATAGAAAACCTCAGTCTAGGAAGACAGGAAAGTCGCCAAGTATTGCAAAATACTTTAAGAAAATGAATAGCTAGCGATCTTTGTGTAACTTATTTTGTAAGGTGTTTGTCAGTTATGAATTGAGATAAAAGTTAACTTCCTGTTAAGTATATGTATGTGTATAAGATGTTTCACTATTTTGTATTTTTCTGTCAAAAGTGATTTTCAAGTGCATGATGCTTATATACGGTAAAAAGAGGAACTAATTACAGTATGTCCTACTTACTTAAACAGTAGTGCAACAGTACTGTAAAACTGGCATCAATGTTCTCAGCTCAAATAAAGTTAATATGAAGATAATGTATGGTGGCAATATGGGTATTGTGTGGGTCTGTGTGTGTTTCTGCATACTTGTGGTCAGCATAACTTCAGAACGTTTTTATGGATTATTGTGATGATATTTGGTATGTTGATAGTTCATAGGAAGGCAAAGGTCAAGGTTAAATCTGGGCTTCCTGGTGGTTGACCTTGATACTGCAGCAGAACTTCCAGTTTTTGTATCTTTTGTCCTGAACATGCTACGGTCTTGACTTCTTGGTGCCAGATAGCTTTTCTGTCAGGAACAAGTGGTGTGGATTTGTCCCCCTAGCATACTTGTGACGTGTATGTTAGTTAAAGGTAACATCACTGCATATATATTATGTTAATGTGAAGGTCCTTTGCATAATTGATATTAAAATATGTTGAAGCTGAACCTTGCCAATGAATGGGACTTTCACATAGGAAATATATGTAATTTGAGTTGAGAAAACCGTAAATAGAATAGATTATGCTATATGTAATCGTCACATCTCCATAATCGTTGAGAAAAATCCCCAAACCAAATGAAATTACTAAGGCTTTAAATATTTTCATGTACGTATGAGGGCTCTGAATTCATGTTTTTTTTAGAGCAGCCACATTTAGACATTATTTCTCTTTCAGAAAATCAAATAAAAGAATAAAAAGAGAATAAAATGTTTTATCAGTCCCCTTGATTATCTTCTTGGGCAGTTTTGACTCTAAAATTTTTTGTTGATAATAAAAGTTCAAAGAACATATGGGATGAACCTGTAGATGCAAATAATTATGCGTCCCCAGGTTTTGTTATAATGCTGTTCTTCCCCAGGCATGAGATAGAGTTTGGAGGATGTGGGAGTAAACTTGACCATGGCGACTGATGGAGGTGGTGTTGATGATGATACTGAAGAGAAGGAAGAGCTGGATCCTGATCTACTGAAGAAGATACAGGAGAGATATATGCCTGTCAGACCTGACAAACTGTATGTACAGTTGGGCACAATTGTGTTTTGAGCAATGGTTGTACAGAGGACTAGGCTAATGCTGGTAATAAACTTTTTAAATTCATGATTTTTGCTTTTCAATGTTGAAACTGTATTCCAGTTGTACAATGTATTCCAACAAGGACGTTCTACAGGACGTTCTACAGCCAAGGACAGATCTGTTCTGTATGAATGGATAGTGTTCAGCACCAAGGGCAGATCTGTTCTGTATTGATGGATAGTGTTCAACACCAAGGACAGATCTGTTCTGTATGAGTGGATAGTGTTCAGCACCAAGGACAGATCTGTTCTGTATGAATGGATAGTGTTCAGCACCAAGGACAGATCTGTTCTGTATGATTCCAAGTTGTAGTATTTCATAACATTGATTAAGTCACCCTTTCCGGCCCCTGTAGATATTCCTTTGAGACAATCAGCTTTGGAGATACAGCAGTAGATCTGTACTGCCTTCATCATGTCATGTCATGTAAGTACAAATTGTATTTACCGATAGAAATTGATTCTTTTCACATAATTGGTAAACTGCCTTTAGGTCACACCAGTCTTGTACAGGAAATACTTGCCGTGAAAGACTGGGCTGTAACGTTTGAACCACTCACACCAGGAAGAACCTCTACTCTTGCCTGGGATTTTTTTCTCGCTTGCAGTGTGGCTCGACTTGAACACGGGACCTCTGGCTTTATATCCCATCCGAGAGGACGTCTCTTAGTGAAGCTTAGGTACTCATTTTTCCCTGATCGAATGAGGAAATGGGTGATAAGGACACAACAGTGGGGTGCCTACCAGGGATTAGAACCCAGAACCTTCATAATCTGGTTATTAGTTAACAGCTTTATCCATAAGACCACCTTGCCACCTGTTAAGTTTCACCTTGGAAGTAGATATATTTGGAAGAAAGGTTTTGGGATTTTTAACATTATTCCCTTCTTTTGCATTGTTTACAGCCTAACTTACAGAGTTAGGCAGCAGGGAGAAAGTTAAGAGAGGAATGCAACATAATAACTAATTAAAGCTGTTTTGACAATTTCAGGGGAAAACGTGGAGCTAGGAGAAGCAGTGTGGCCATCAGCAAAAGTAGGTGTCTGTTGTAGTTTTAGACAACTTCAGTGACAAACAAATTTGATAGGTTTAATTTGTGTTTTTAAAATACTTAAATACTTACTGATATTACATTATAGTGAGAGAATGTCGACGTCTGTCCTGAAATTGAACTAAACTGGAGGAAACTGGGTATACTTGTAGTTGGTTGAGCTGGTTACCTCGATCTTCCACTGTACGGCAGGGAGCTAAGTTAAACCCTAATATATGTTTGTCTGTGAAATCGGGGGGAAACATAGTTCTCTTTGGAGCTTGGTAAGAAGAGAATGAAACTACTTTTAATTCTCACAAGTTGTTATCTTTAGATCCTATCCAGGTACCTGTTAGACAACCCAGACCTGGTAAGAGATGTGAGTGTGTTGGAGCTGGGATGTGGCCCTGGACTGACAGGACTGGTGGCTGCTAAACTGAGCAGGCAGCCCAGCAGGGTCCTGCTCACTGATAACTGTCAGCTGGTGCTGGAGGAACTGGTACCCAGGAGTATACAACACAACTTTCCTCATACAGAAGGTACGTTACTGATGTGTACATGCCTAGTAACTTCTTACACTTAATTGAAAACAAGAAATTTAGAGATTTTAGACTTCCAGCCTCCATAGATGTTGACTCCCTGTAGCGTGGGGCACAACCCGCCGTACATGCAACTGCGTGCTGTCTATGTGCAAAAGCGTTGGCAAATTTTTGGCAACTCATTACCCAAAACAATATATATTCTTGTAAATATATATATAAATATATATATATAAACAACCCCCACCACAGACCGTCCTGAATGTGTGTACCTCCACTGGGGTGCAGACTTACCCAGGTTCCAGCAGAAGTATGGCAGCTTTGATGTCATCCTGGGAGCTGACGTCATCTACTGGACAGAATATGTCGAACCTCTGCTCCAAACTGTGTCTCAACTTCTGTCGCTAAAGGTAGATTTCATTTGTTTGTTTTGTATAACCTGGGAGGTATATCACTTTTATGCGCAACATAGTTATTGTGTCGGAAAAAATATTTCCTGCAACGGGCAAAATTCTGATGCAATGTCTACCAAACATCCAACCAAAACCTTGAATAATCCGGGGTTTGTGCAGCCGTAGTACGTTCTTCCGATGTGCTGCTATTTTTGAATTGTAGTTAAAACTACCATGTATATTCACTTTGACCAAACATAAAGGAAACTACAGACTTCAAAGCATTTCCTTAAATATAATGATTTTCTCTTGTTATTTCCAGCCATCATCTTCCTTTATCACAATATATGAGGAGAGGTATTTGAAGGCACCTGACACAACTGTCCCAGAAATGTTGAACATTGCACACAAGTACAACCTGACTTGTTCTAACATACCTTTGGAAAACAATCCAGAATATCAAGAAGCCAGGAAACAAAAGAGAAACTTCAAACTTTATAGTTTTATGCGTAAGTCATAAATACGTAACTTGTTATATTTTTAATCACATTTTAGAGAGATTTTTAACTGTGATACTTTTAAGTATTTTTAAAATAGAAAATAATGAAAACATCACTCTGAGTCATAGCTTGAAGAAGTTTTATTTTAGAGACATACAAGTACAGTGAAATAAGGTAATAGCAGCGAATTTTTGTATCCTAAATCATTTTATTTTAAGATGAAATATTTTAAGATGAAATTTATATACATAGTAAAAATTAAACTGTTCTCAAACTCAAAGAGAATTTGACTCACCGGAATTTTCGACCGAATCCCTCGCGATCGGTCTTCAGCTAAATCATGTGTCTACAGCTCCGACCCAAGTGCTGTAGACACATGATTTTTCCGCACGAGTGATGTCAGCACTGGGTCAAAGTTCGTCGGAAGTCGGTATCGCTACCCGATCCGGTTGAGAAAAGGGTGATTTACAGTTTAATTTTCTTTATGTAACTTACCAACTCAGATGAATTTTCACTCTAATGTAAGTTAAAATAATATGTAAATTGTAAATAAGTTGTAATAGAAGATAGAATAAACAGTTCCGGCTCTAAAGCCTGATTGTGCCAAAAGCTAAACATGTGTAACCCACCAGTACTACAGTAATAACTTTGATTGACTTTGGCGGAACCGCACATGTATCTAACTAATGATCTGCTGTCAGATGATGAATCAGTATAATTATATTTACATGATAAACAAGATGTGATAAACAAAGTGCGTCGTTGAAGTTAATGTCATATTTTTTCATGGTAACAACGATTGAAAAAAATCACAGATTTCAAAAGCCGTAACAAAGAAAGGTTCCCGGAGATCCGTCCAATGGTAAGTCTGATCAGGGAAATTTTAATTGAAATTTACGTATTTAATCTTCATAAGTCTGACCAACGTGGCCAAAAACAATTCGTTAATTTGTACCGGGCAGTATCATTAGTGGAAGACGAAGTTCAAAATGTGATTGGGCTTTTCTGATAACCCCTAGCAGCGTACGTTCCTGACTAACCGTTACGGGCATAACAACTCCAACCCACGTCGCTGAAGCGCTGATAAAACATAATCTATAACATCAGCACGTCGTAGCAAGGCGGAGGAATCCGGCCTGTGACGTCAATCGCAGCTTCTTGGGAAGGTCCGCTCATACTTGCCGGCGCCTTGAGACACACACAAGTATGCTGAAGCATGCGTCCAGAAATATGTCTCCTGCATGCTATGAGCGACCGAAGACGCCAGAACATATAAAAAGTGAACTCACGTTGCAAATTTTCTTTACTTGGACTTGGAACTACGTTGGTCTGTGTCTCAAACGTTACTGGCATTCCTGCACTGGCGTTCTTCTCTTCTGTAGCTACAGTATGATATTAGTTCCCGCCAGATCCTCTTGTTTTGTGTGTTGCATTCGGATCCAAAACGTTTTGGAATGGAACATTATACAAGTTCTTGCACTTCTTTTGATTTAGTGATATCGTCGTTCCCTAGGTTGATTGAGTCAGCTCTTCAATAGGAGGTTGATTGGAAAGACTGTGATCATCTTTGATGTTCAATTTTCTGACAACCTACGATAGGCGTATTCAATAGACTTTGCCAGCGAAAGATCTGCTTGATGATTAGATTGTGTCGTCTGTTACACAATCATGAAAGTCTTTCACCCGACTCACGATGAACCACGCCTCTTGTTATCCGTAGTGAGCAGCTTAGCCTTGGTTTGCTGCTCAACATTGGCAGACTGTTTACAACACATGCATTTGTTACGGACAAGGCCGGGCAGAACGGCTTGCCTGAAATATTCTGAGTGTCTGAATGTTTGTCAAATCTGAGAACTAATGCTTTTATCTACCATCATGTTGACGCGTGATAAAGAAGTTGTTAGATTTGATAATATTTCCAATTGTTTGTTTCTTAAGCATATCTTCCCCATGATTGACTTTTAACTAGTAACAGGGGAACATTGGAAGTATGATACGGTGACGTAGGCCTGATATTGTCTTTTTTGGATGTTCAAAGAAAAAACAAACCTTTCCAAATACTGCTATAGAAAGAACTATTTTTTCCTGTCCGTTAACTAACATTTCTGTGAACCTTGTCGACAGCTCTTATGTGTACTGTTGCAGCTGGTTTTGAATAGGCAAATAACCTCCACTAATTAGGAGTGGTCGCAAACATGGTACTGACATGGTACATTTAATTGCTTTGATTCATCTCATTTTGTCTTATTGGGAAATGTCAGTTCCAACATCTCTCTCTTCAATACAATTCAATTTTTTACTAACACCTTTAAGGCTTGTTCCCCTTGAAGTTGGTGTGCTAACCCCCCCCCCCCACGTCGCCAACAGCGACAGTTCTGTTATCAGCGAAGTGCGTCACCTCTTACATCAATGCCCAGGTCGGGTTTCGCGCTAGGGGACTGTCCCTGACGGAACTGTCACGGCGAGATAATCCTAACGATGACGTCCGGAACCGTCTGGCGTGTTTATGGACTAGCCTGGTGTCCTGTCTTCCGTGGTTTGGACCGATCTACTCTTCGGGGCTGGAGGAGCTCTTCTCCGCCCGAATCAACTAGGCTTCCCGGTAGGTTTTGTACGACAGGAGTTCAATCAGCCAAATCTCCTGCGGTGCAAACTTCTACATGTGCAAAACCCCTACCGGACGGCCATTTGAGCTGGTAGGGGAAAGCTACTACAGCTCCGAAGAGAGCCCGCCCGATCCACGATAAACTGGACACGATAGGTTAGGTTTATGGAGACTGTAGAGCTCCAGAACTGCTGATGGAGAGGCAGCGCTCACTGTCACGTATATACCCGCTCCAGCGTCTGTCACGCGATATGTTTACCCCACTGACGCTTGACCTTTCGCGCCGTACAGTTTCACGAGAGCATGATTTTATTTTTCGGTTTTTGGTATACGTACTTCAATCATGCGGGGCGTCTGTATTGAATCGTCCACAACAGGTGTTAGCTTAAAGGCTTATCTCAGTCTCAGATATCGTCCTGATAATCTTCAAGGAATGGGCGAATGTCGTCGACGTCTTGTATCAAGCCACCCACTCGTGGTATCTAGGCGTCGCCAAATAGTTGTGAAAGGATAGCACTCCGCCCCTAGAAGGTCAGGCTAGTGCCGTGCCCAATGTTTAATTTAAGTTCGCCATGTTATATTTTAGCTGGGCAATAGCTTCGGGCCACGTACTATTTGCCAACGCTGTAAACATCTGAATAACTGAGGAGGCATTCCGGCATCTCCGGCTGCACTGACGGCGGCGGTGGTAGGACAGCAGTGAGGGGGTACGGAGAAGTGTCGGGACACCGACAGGAGCTGGTCACAAGGGGGAACAACCATGTAAATCGCTCGCCTGGAAAGGACTGATCGCTTGGCAGGCCGCCGCGAGACCAATCGAGATCAGGGGAGCAAATACGTGGCGAGAGATTCTCCTCAGCCTCGTGCATGTGGAGCTCTCCGGCATTTGTGTAAGAGTTGGAGGACCTTTGGCGAGACATTTCGTTCGGAGCTACCTGTGTGGTGTCCTTCGCGACTTGAGTCTGGTGTAGAGCACAGGGATGGCGGACTCGGACGCAGCTCGGGCGGCAGACCGCTTAAGGAAGGAGGAGTTCCAACAGCTCGAACAGGCCTTCAAGAAGTTCGACAAGGACGGCAGCGGTTCCATCGACTTCAAGGAGCTGGGCTTCCTCCTGCGCTCCCTCGGACAGAACCCCACCAAGCCCGAGCTCCACAACATCAGGAACCAGGCGGACGCGGACGGCAGCGGCTGCATCGACCTGCAGGAGTTCGTGGGGCTGATGTCGCACAGCGCGCGGGAACAGGCCATCGAGGCGCGGGAGACCCTCCGCCACGCCATGAAGCTGTTCGACAAGGACGGGTCCGGGTACGTCAGCGCCACCGAGCTGCGATACGTCATGACCAACCTGGGAGACAAGATGAGCGAGGAGGAAGTGGAGGAGCTGCTCTCCTTCGGCCACATCGACTCCTCCAACCTCATGAACTACGAGGAGTTCCTCGTCTCGCTGATTCCCTTACCTCCAGAACCCGAGGAGGACACCAACAAGAAGGGCAAGGGGAAAAGATGATGGCAGAAGACAAAAGTAATTGTTTTCTGAGTTTGAGTTGATCGCTGTTGTATATTTCTAAAACGTTGTGATGTACGTAATATTAAGATAAAGTCGATCGTTCAACTCACTAAAGACATGTCGGTGCAAACCGTCAGTAGTGCACGCTGAAACTGACACCGACAATAGGTCTGTTTGTCAGGGCTTATATGTTTTAAGTCTGAACATATTGAAGCCATGTTATGGCTACTTATGCGCTTTACGGCTTGCAAACTTTCACTGTTTGCACGATGTCTACAACATTAAGGCGTTGGTATTCTAAGCTACAGTTACGAAGTGATGACAACAATTTGAAAGATACAGCTGATATATGGTGATGAACTCGCAGAATGATATTGAATGAATGTTCAACATTTTGTATGAGATTTGAAGTATAATAATTTCTACACATTACATCGCTATTTAGGTCTCGAATGTATATAGCCTATGTATGATAACAGACCGCTTATCAAAGTGCCAAATCTGCAAGATATTTCAACACTTCTCTAGACAAGACCTTTAAACTAAACCAACTGTTTAGTATCAGAGAAAGCAACAGTTAGAACATGTAGATTAGCCAAATAATATTATTTGTTTGATGTATATGTATTGCCTACTGTCATGTAGAAAATGTGTGCCTCGTAACTCGCAACTTCGCAAACTTGTTTGAAATTCGAACGTAATATACATTTGGGAAAACTTTGTACTTAAGGTATAGGTCGAAATGCTATATATGTATTCCGTACAAAGGACACTTGATTCCCGTTTATGTCAGCTCATCAAGTTACCATCGCGGTCGATCCTGATAATGTCCTGCCAAGATGCTGTCAGGATAAGAACGACTTAACATCAAACATTCGCCAAGCAGCTGCAGCATGGCGGCTGACTGATGCCGTATACAGGACTCTGTTGGATGTGTAAACTAACACCAAGTTCAGCTAGCATGGTGAACAGACCGTCATGGCTCCCGGCCTTCCTCGCGAAGCTAAATGTGTATGTGTACCCGCCCGTCAAGCCTCCCGTCCAGCGCACGCTAGCTAAACGTTTAAGTTAGGTCAGTAATCAGAAGAGCCGGCTGGAAAGATCGACCGCCTGAAGAACGGTCGGACAAACTGGAGCCGAAACACTTCAAAGCCGGCCCGCAGGAAATGGTTACCAGGCTACGTTCAACTGTGAACAGGAGTAAGTGGAGACATTTCCGCCTGTCAGCAGTACACGACAGTGTCACCTTGGACCATTAAACGGACAGTTGTGAAGCCACCTCGCCTGATATGGACATCTCGGGGTAACCGGAGCCCGCAGACCTCGTTACCCGATCCTGTTGTGTAGATCTCGGAGGCCTTAAAGTTTTAAACATAGAGGTCGATATTGTGAAAGACTGGCCTCTACCAGACCTCAGAAGGGACTGGAAAGAGTACAAATTGGCTAGATAGACAGATAATATGCCAGCTCTCTGTTACCTGGCCAATTTCTACTTTCCAGCCAGCCACTTCTGAAAACTGAAAGATGCTAGCATAAGTTTAAATTGTCTACATTTTCACAAAGAAATTGATAGGACACTGAACACGAATGAGTGTTATTTTATGTCTTGATGGGCTTCTCAACAAATGATGTAGAAATTGC